TGTCTATCCTATCCATGACAGTCAGGCTTGGAAAAACATTGATGAATCATACACACTCAAACACACACACACACACAGAGAGAGAGAGAGAGAGAGAGAACATTATCAGCAATTTATCAGTGCTTCTAGATATTTCATATTCCCATGATTACTACCTCCATCACAGAAAATTATATTGACATTGTCTGTAGAATATCAATAATCTAAATATATTTATAACTATTGCTCTTGTTTTCCATTGTAACAGGGTGTCTTTAAATTCTTTAAGCTCATTCATTTTCCTTACCTCTTACAACTCATGGGATCAAAAAACATTCTTCGGTCATTTTGTTATACATCCACCAGAAGGAACTATTCATTCCAGTGCTTACTGTATTAGTCAAGGAAGATCTATAGATTATGTATGTACCAACTCTGAAGAGAAGAACTTAGCAAGTATGTATGTATGTATGTATGTATGTATGTATGTATGTATATCTCAGAATCTTTTCTTCCTTTGCTTATATATTCAAAATACACAGATACAATATAACAGTAATAAGAACCAAAATTCTCAGAAGACACAGCAAGTACACAGGGACCTAATTACAGATGGGGGGAAAAAACTGAAGTGGATGTAGGATCTACAGGCAGATTAATTCTACAGATGTAGAGATTTTAAAAAAAACTGAAGTGGATGTAGGATCTACAAATGGATTGATTCTGGAACTGGAACAAGTACAGTTCTGCTTTTTGCTTTTAGTTCATTCCTAATCTCTAGCCCTCCATCTTAAGAAGTCCTTGTACATTGATGAAACATTTCGCAAAGCTAGCTTTGCTGAGTTATGTGAACAGCTGTATTTATGAATTAATGAATTTATGCAGGATCTTTTTTTTTTTGTATTGATACACACATTCATTTATTTATTTGAAAGATTAATAAGGCTGCCCAACTCAAACAATGTGACTCTGGGCAGAAAACAACAAATAAACCAGGAAAAAAAAAACCCACAACCATATAACATTAAAACATGTACAATATTTAATACAAAATGTGACCAAGCACCTCAACAAAATAACTAAAAGGGGACTCCACTCAACTGGCCCCAATGCCTGGGGGAAAGCCCAGTCTCAGCAGCTTCCCTAATTGAATGTCTCTGCATGTATTGCCCTAACACTAATTGTGCATAAAAATATTATAGTAACATTTTACTTACCAGATGCCCCCAACTTATTTTGCATGACATCTTCAGGAGCAGTGTAACTTTGCAATCTCTATTCCTTCTAAATGCTCAAATGTTGTTTTTAGTGTAATTGTTCTTGTGTATTAGAGGTATTATTTTAATTACAGTTATGTGTCATATTTTATCCTGGATAACCATCCATTTGAAACTTGTCCCAGTCCAAATTCAGTTTCTTTCACAAGATGGTGGTTTGGCTTAGGGCACTATGTTCGTTTAACTTTAAAAGATGGCTAAAGTGCTTCTTCCTTTATCCTATCTAAAAATTACCTCCCACTCATGGAGACCGTGTTTCCATGAACGTATGTCTCATATCCCTCCAAAAACTGCTAGTGCTTATAGATTCCCAGGAAACTCATGATGCCACTACCAGCTATGAGGTCTCCCCACACCCACATTTAAAGAAGGCTATTCCTTGAGAATCTTGTACAGCTGAATACTAGTTTATGACATCAAAGCCCAAAATTCCACTAAGATTTAGGAACTGTGGGCTGAAGGCTGGTAGACTTCCCCCCCCCCCACGTTTGATGTGGAGTTCTGTACTGGTGTTGGTGCTTTGAGAAAAATGCAATAAGCAGGCCTCTAAGCACCAGTGACATGCAAAGAAATAAGGAATAGCTCATATGATTCTTTTAAAGATCACTTGTAGCTCTTAGCATGGCTCTGGTAGACTTGCTTTATAGACATATTCATATTTTCAGAGTTCATTTTCATCATTTGCAAAGTATTTCAATTCATCATGCTGTGGCAAGATGGAAAGCATAGGTTTGGCAAATCATTTAATTATGCAAATGTCTAAGTAGTATAAAGGTCAACAAAAATGTGAATTCTTTAAAAACAATTCTATAAATAATAACATATACTTAAAACTGTATTTTTGTCCTCCCTAGAATTACAACTATTACATTTGTTGCTCCAGAAATACATCGTTCTTGTTGTTGCATGCTTCCAGTCATTATATTCCACAGTGAAAAATGTGAGAATCAGAATTTAAACTGCAGAATGTTCTATGTACAAAACAAAATGCAGAATGTCTACCAACTGAGTCTTCCAGCTACTCGCATACTTTAAATCAGAAACATTGGAACTTTTGTATACAGTTGGACAATGTAGTCCTCAAATATGAAGTTCTAAGATAAGGTTGTTTAAATTTAGAGCAACCTAAATCTGTTAGGTTGATTACAAGAAGCCTAGCTGAAGTTTTGGTTACTTAAAGTTTTCATTTTCTTTCCAAATCTACAGTGATGTATTGGGAGATGGTAAAACATTAGAATCAGCACTTACTTCACATATCAAACATACCACCACATTGCCTCTGACAGAAGTTGCACTGCTAGATCTATCTCTGAAAGAGAAATTTAGGATGGACATTTGCTTTGAAGTCCATATAATTGTGTGTGTTCAAGAAATGGAAAAGAAGGAAATGGGTGATCTGAAACAAATCTGGATTTGCAATTTGTCTCACGTCAAAGGCTTTTTGTAAATATAAAAATAGAGTGAGTTTTTACATGACAGTCTGGGCTTCTGGGACACAGGTCCAAAGGACAGAAAGAATGGAATTCTTCAGTCAGTGCCCAAGAGCTATAAGAGATGGAAGCACTCAAGAAACATGGTAGATGGGGATGGAACAGGACTTGAATGGAGATGCTTCCATCAATCTGACCACCTTGCCTGTGCTATAGGTGCTGCTTTTATTTCTCTTAAAGTTGCAACATAACTCACTGCAGTTTAAATAGTTACTTAAAATCATAAACTAATGCTTATTTTGAAATGCATATCAAAATAAATATTCTGAGCAAAGAACACACACCAAACGTATTTAACATGCATGTCCAGGCTCATGTTTGAATAGCAGCAATTTTTATTTTGAGTAGACTTTTTTTTTCCTTTTTTAAATTTTCTTTTGAAATGCAACAACAACAAAAAAATGAAATTGAGCAATGCTACAGAAGAAGTCATATCCATGTAAGAAATAAAGCTGGCAAGGCAGGAATTAATGGGTCCAGGCTACAGAGAACCAGGATCTCAGCAGAGATGAGGCACTTCCAAGGCTATCAAGAGAACAGCCAACAACCCATTAACTCAGGAAAAACCTAGAATTTAAACCCCTGAGCACAGATTTAATTCTGTGCATGTGGCTTAATCATTTTCTGCAATAAAGAAACAATCTAGCTATGTCACATTTGAAAACATTTTCCTATGTACACCACTTCTGTTTAAAAGGCATAAGTGTCTAAAAAACCTAGTTTCAGTTGAGTCCTGGCATGAAGTGTGACAATAAAAATGACACATCCAGAACAATTTCTCTACTAGTTTTGAGACTGTATAATTTCTGAGAAGTTAAGCATTAGTTTTATGATTTAACAGAGATTTGAAACAACAGAGTTGATCAGGAACTCTAATTATTACATAACTAATATAATTTGAATGTGTTCTAAGGTAGAGATGGGCAGAAAATAATACCAAATTTACTAGTAGATATCTGTATGATTTATAAGAGATTGACAAATT